ACCCACCCCCCCGCCACAGCCCCCGGTCCCGCCCGTGGGACCAGCCCAAACCGGGCTCTCTGCTACCCACCACTCCTCCGCGACAGGACCCCTCCTTTCCCTAGACCTGAGGGGGCCTGCTGAGACAGGAGTGGAAACGGTTCCAAACTGTGTGGACAGGTGGCCCGGACTCAGTGTTCACTGAGCCCCGCCGGCTGCGACTGTGGACAGCAGGACTTGTCTAGCTGCGGATTAGCAGAACTGGACAAAACGGTCCTTAATTGCCAGACCTTTAAAATTGTGACCTGACAGCCTTGACCGTTAAGTGGCTTGTGAGCAAGCAGCTCACATAGTGCAGGTCCCTGAGAGGAGAGGAAGCAGGAAATCGCTCGCGGCTGGCAGGGAGCAGGAGAGAGAGGCGGTCCTCAGAGCCAGGAGCTGGCCAGACCTGCCTGCCTGCAGAGTGGGACGATGTGTCTGCAGGGTGCAACGGATCCAGGTGTGCTCTGCTTCGTCAAGACTTAAACAGCCAGAAAGGAAAGAGACTCTGCTAAGAGTTAGTGTGGATCTAGAACAAGCATCTGGAGCAAGACCGTGGTCAGCGGAGTCATGGTCACTGCTCTGAAGGGCCCTGGGCATGGCTGGTCCTCTGGCTGCAGTGCTCTCCCATGGGAATCCCACAGGGCTCCCTCTTCTTCTCCTTGGGGCTTCTCTGCACCTCCTCAGAGGTGAAATATTGGTCCTCACCATCCTCTCTGCCCCCTTAATCCACTCAATTTCCTCCACAGAAGAAATCACCACTTGATTTATGTTTTTGTTTATCATCTGTCTCTTGTCACTGAAAAAATCAGTTCCAGGAAGAAGGGACCTCAGTTATCCCTGGGGCATAAAACTGAGCTTGGCACATCAGAGGGATTCAGTAAACATCAAGTGAGCAAGTATCTTTACCTGGAGTCCTCAGACACCATCACCTGAGGTCACTGAGGAAGGGCTAGTCAGAGGGAAGGTGTGCCAGGTCACCTAGCATATCCCGGTTGCTGCTCAAGACTAAGCCCAGTCCCTGCTAGGCTGGGGTGGTGGGGGGAGTGGAGACTGAACGATGGATGCCATTTTCAGTGCCCTTCTAAGAGGGGCCATCCTGGGGTGGCCTAAAGGCACGGAGTTGGCTGCAAAGACTTCTGTCAGTGTTTTGGATCCGGGGAGGGAGGATGGACAGCTGCTCCTTCTTCAGGGGGCAAAGGCACACTGGGTGGTACTGGGGGCTGGGGTCCAAACTCTCCCCAGAGGCAGGTCCTCCCATACCCCCCTTCCTGACACCGCCCAGCCCCTGAGGCAGAGGCAAAGGAGTGATGGCTCTGGAGCAGCCTTCAGGGCACAGCTCTGTGGGGAGGCATGCAGGGGGCAGGGGTGGGGGATGAGTGTAGCCTTTCTACTTGCCAAGACTGGGCAGGTTTTGCTGAAAGCATTTCTGGCCAGCATTGTGAGGAAAATCACAGGTGACCCAGAGAGGCCCCCAGAACTGGAGGCCACACACATCCTTTCTGGGGATACAAGTAACCATGGCACCTTGGGGTAGGCTTTGGGTACGGGAAGGACATGGGTGGGGGCCCAGAAGGGAGAGAGCAAGGCTGCTCTCTGGGCCGGGTCAGGGTGCCCGGGGTTCCACGGGCACCTCCTCCAGCATCAGCCCACATGGGCAGGCTTCCCTGGTGGGGCGTGGGACCCAGAGCTCCCGCAAGGCACAGAGGCCTCCCTAAGGACACGGGGAGGAGATGGCCACCACAGGACAGACTAGAGGCAGGATCCTCAGGGCTGCAAAGGAGTTTAAGGTGGGGGGGGGGGTTGGCCGAAAGTGTGGCCAACACAGTGGGACCTGGGCCCTCTAGGGCCTGGCCTATCTGTGGGGAGGGCAAGGCCTGTCAAGGGGTCTGTGCAGGCGGGAGACTCATAGAAGGAGGGGGGAAGGGGGAGGAAGGAAGGGAGCCCCAAAGGGGCTGGTCTGCCTTTTGGATGATTACCCTGGGTCTGCCTTAGAGAGAACCGAGTGAATCTGGGTCAGGGCGGTGGGGAGACCCTGCAGTTGTGGACAACCAGGGACAGGGGGAGGTGCCCCTATCTGGCAGGACGTGGAAGTGAGTGAGACCTGTCCAACGGGGTCCGGCCCCTCCTGCCAGGACCCCAGTCTGCCCTCTGGCTGCCAAGGCGGGATCAGGACTCTGGAGAGAATGGCCACATGGTGTGAAATCACTGTGGTGTTTTATTGGCTGTGATTCCATCCAGAGACTACACACGCGACGGCCCCCGACATGCAGGAGGAGGCCCAGGCGCAAAGACAGAAGGACGGACGACATCCACAGTTCACGCTAAGCTCGGCTGCTCCGGGCGCCCCATGCGCTGGGAACGGGATGCGGGGTTTCTACGAGACAGCGCCCTGTCTGCTCAGAGCTGGCTTTTCAAAGTGTGAAACAGGCATTTAAAAAAGACGTGGGACCAGGAGGAGTCAGAGAGGGCGCGGGACGCGCGGGGCGCACCAAGGCGGCGCGGGGGCGCAGGGACACGCTCTCACGTCTTGGAGCAGGGGGCGTGCGCGGTTCATATTGCGGTCTATTGATATGGCTTCTCTAAAGAGCGACGGAGGGCCACGCCCCTGGCCCGCAACACGTGGACACAATGAATTTGTGATAGGGACAGAAAGGGGCCCCGGGCACCAAGGCAACGGGCTTTCTGTCACGATAAAACTCCCCAAACACGTAAGACCTCATTTACCTGAGATTCAACATATCGTGATGCAAAGGAAAACAAGGATGAAGGAGACGTAAGGGTTCGGGAGGCCCGCGGTGGTTGCCGTCAAACTCCGCCTCCGCTGAGCGCCAGCCCACCTGGCAGTCCCCACCTCGAGGGGCCTGCTCCCTTCGGGGGAGGGCAGGCCGGCCTTTCTGCCTCCAGACGCACAGCACTCATCTGAGGGCTCTGCGTCTCCTCCCAGATCTCCTTGAGGGTGTGCGGGTGCAGGGGGTGAGGGCAGGGGACACCCCCCACCCAGAGCAGCCTCCGATGATGGTGAGACTGGAGGTGCCAACCAGGGAGGGGAGTGGGCTGGGCCCACGGACTCAGAGGGGTACGAGTTAGAGGGATGTGTGAGAGTCTGTGTGTATTCCACCCTGGTCGGGGGGTGGTCTGGGAAGTTTCCCCCTAGGCCTATTGCTTTGTTTCCCTTAGTTTAGAAGAGAACCCAGTCCTGGTATTTCTAAGAAGCTAAGCCTTCCAGAGGAGTGGGCCGAGAAGGGAGAGTGAAGGACAGGGAGAGACAGATGGACAATGAATGTGAGGGGTGCAGGTGGAGGTGGGCAACCTTCAGACAGGAAGATTCAGAGATCCTGCTACCCAGGTGTCATTGTGGAGATGGGGGAGGCTGCTCGCCCCTCCCAGTTCCCCTCCCAGCCTGCACACCCACCTTCCCCCCACTATGGCTGTGCTCCTGAGTTTGGGACTGGACAAGCGCCCACCGACGCAGGAATGGCGCACCGAGGGGTGGTCAAGATGCTGGCCCTTTCGGTGGCCCTGGCCTTGGGCACTGCTGGGTGGGTGTGAAGGGCGGGAGCAGTAAGGGACGTCCCAGGCTCTGGGGGAGGGTCCAACCCAGAGGAGCACGTGGGCTGGTCCCCGGGGCCTGCAGCACAGACCGCAGGGGCCCGGGGGAGGGGCAGGCGCCCCTCCCCCGTGGCGGTGACGATGGCAGTGCGGGGAGAGGGGTGGGGGGGAGAGGTGTGCGCAGGCTCCCGAGGTATGAGGGGGGCATGGGGCTGATAGATCTAGGACTATGGCTTATATTGGCGTTGGGGGCTGCACTCTGCTCCCGACATCCCTTCAAGGGGCCTCCGCGGAGGGCATGTACAGGGGGTAGGTAGGCGGGGGCGGCGAGGGGGGTGGGGGCTCCGGGCTCTGGCGGGCTGCCGTCCAGCGCAGGGTCGTTACTTCTTGAACATGTCCTGCAGCGGCCCGGGCAGGTACTTGATGACCGTGTCCAGGATGCTCTCGTCTTCCTCCTCTGGCTCGTCCCCACAGCCCGGCGGGATGGCCTTCTTGGGTCTCGTCAGGCTGCCCTCCGAATTGGCCTCCATGGCGGCCTGGGCCTCGGCCTCGCGTTCCTCCTTCTTCTTGATGCCGTACTGGGGGGGAGGGGAGGGGGTCAGACCGCGAGCGGATTTCCCAGCCCAGGCCTGGCTCCGGGCGCCACACCTGGACCCTTCCTGCGCCTGCAGGATGGGCCAAGAGGCCTCGAGAGGTGGTGCCCGTGGCTGTGAGGGTGTGGGGGAGCCCCTGGGCCCACCGACTGCTGCCAAGACCCCAGAAGACAAAGTCCCCACACAGGAGGGTGCCTGGAAGGGTGTGGGGGACCCCACGGAGTGTGCAGGGCGACAGCGGAAGCCGGGGCTTGGGGGGCTGTGTTGAGTGGGGAGCACAGGGAAGGGGGAAGGTCAATCCCCACCCCGCCCCTCCCCCCTGCCATCCTGCCTCGCCTTCCCAGGGAGCTGGCGCTGTGCTCAGCGGGCCTGGCTGTGGGCTAGGAGGGGCAGGCAGGATGTCTGCTGGCCGTTGTGAAGAACCCATTTGTCCGTGGCTGGCGGGCCCACGCAGCCCAGATCCCTGGTCGGGTGAGGTGTGGTCACACCTCAGGCCTGGACAACTCTCCCTAGATGCCGCCAGGACCCCCGCCCCTACCTGGACAGCGAGGGGAGGGTGCCCAGTGGCAGTTCTAGGCGGATGTTCTGGAGCCCCACCTAGGCGTGCCCTCAGCCAACACTCCCGGGCACCCCTGAGCCCCCCATTTCCGGTTTCCCCTCTGTACTGGGTAGAATAGTGTCCCCCCAAAATTCATGTCACCTGGAACCTTAGAATGCAGGCTTATTTGGAAATAGGGTCTTTGCAGATGGTATTAAGGTAAGGAGATCATCCTGGTCCCTAAATCCAGTGATAGTTTCCTTGTAGAAGAAAGACAAGGACAGACAAAGCCACAGGAAAGTGGAGAAAGGCTGGCTACAAGCCAAGGACACGGAGGACTGCCAGGGGCCACACAGGAGACAAGGAAGGGTTCTCCCCTGCAGGTTTCAGAAGGAGGGCAGCCCCGCCCACATCCTGATTGTGGACTTCTGGCCTCCAGAACTGAGAGAATAAATTTCTAAGAGACGAACACATGCCCCCTCCCCCCAGGCCTACCACTGGCCCTGCAGGAACCAGCATTGAACCATCCTAGCCCTGCAGGATGGAGGAGGATGAGCCTGTGGTCACCAGGAGGCCTCCTGCCTCAGGGCTGGTGGGAACTGGGCGGGGTCACACTGGACTCATGGGTTTCAGGGGCTGGTGGTCTCTGATGGGTCAAGCTCGGGACCCACTGAGGCTGGAAAGAGGGGCACCCCTTGGCCAGGCCTGAGGTTCTGGATCACACATAAGGGAATGCACAGGGGCAGAAGCATTAATAAGGGTAAACAGGGACAACTGGGGACAGCGTGTCGGTGTCAGCGATTATCCACAGACTCCAGATTTCTACTGGGAACACAGAAGCACAGGATCACTGGCCTCAGGGAGGAGGTGTTTCTGCCCAGGGGGAGGACTGACGCCAATGCTCACTCATCTCTCCTTGCCAACCCCTCCCAACGAAAGTGGATTCTGCTTCTGGTGCTGGTGGGAGCGGGGGAATGCCCCACTCTCCAAGAAGGACCTTCCCTCTCCTTCCAGATTTCGGGGGAGCTGGCTGTGTCCCACCCCCAGCCTGCTGACGATGCTGACGGAAACCTCTGCACCTCTCTGCTCCCTGAGGCTGCAGGTGGCTTCAGGCATGGGGGAGTCAATGGCCACCTTCAGCAGAGGTCAGAGATGAAGAAGCCATGCTCTCTGCCCACCTGTGACCAGAGCACAGCCTGGGCTTCCTTGCCACTTGCCAGACACTGAGAGAGGAATGAGGTGTTCATCCGTCTTCTTCAGCGGGAGCCCTGAGCAGCCCACGGTCCCTTGTGCTGGGAGGGTCTCAGTGAGGGGCCGATGGGGGCACCCAGGGAACATCCTGGGCAGCAGGCACATGGACCAGAGGGCCCGTCAGGTCAGCCAAGGCACAGAGTGGGACAAGCTGGCCGGACACTGGGCGCCCCTTGCACAAGCAGCATGGGTCCTGCTCCTGGGTCACTACTCAGGGACAAACTCACGGCAGAGGGAGTGGCGCTTAGGCTTGGAAGGGGAAGGAGGGACATGTGGCTTGGAGCCCTGTGGGGCGGAACGTGGGCGGGGGAGAGAGGCACCGCCAGAAACTAGGTCAGACCAGAGGGAGCCTCCCTCCAGCCCGGGGCACAGACTCCAGCAGACTCCTCCAGCCACAGACGTCTGTGCACGCGGCAGGAACATTCAAGCGCCGGGGTGCCGGTCTGTGCGCTGGACCCGGGAGGCTGAGCTGCCTAAAGCCTGCACTCACGCCCACCGCGGAAGTGCCTGTGCTCAGGGAACACGCATGTTATGGCGAGAGCACGTTGTGTACAGTTGAGCAGAGTGATCTCCCCGACCAGAGAGGCAAGCTCTGAGCAACCACGGTCTGCAGTGTTGGGGCTGTCCCCTCTGGCGTCCAGAAAGGAGACCCCAGCCCCCAGCTCACTCCAGTGAGACTCAAAGTCCTGCCAAGGCTGCGGCCACTGGGCTCCAGCTGAAGGTCACAATTACTCTGTTAGGGGAGGGACTCCAGAGCTGGGGTCCACACCAGAGCTTGGCTCCACTGTGATCTGGCTAAGAGCTGATTTGAGGCTCCCGAGCTCCAGAGGCAAATGTCCAGCCACAGCCGGTCCAGGCACCCACTGGAGGTGCCCAGCCTCCACACTGACCACGAAGACGGCAGGGTCCCGCCCCACACCCCGCGGCTGGCAGGAACCTGGTGCTAATTAACAGTGAGGATCTGTAATATCCCAAAACAACAAATAATCGGCAATCACATGCACACTTTTACTATCAGCGCAAACCTCAGACTGAACCTTGAGTGATCAAGGGGATGTGGGGGACTGGGTGGGCTTGGATCCACCAGTAGGGTGCTGGGAGAAGGGTGGTTGTGGCTCAAAGCTGAGGATCTCAAACCTGGTGGTGGGCATGCAAACCAGAAGGTGAGTATGCAAATCAGGAAATGTATATGCAAACCAGGCAAATAAGCACAAGTGGGTCAATCTCACAGGTGCGCCATGATGGGGTGGGGAAAGGGAGGCTCTGCCCACCGACCCCCAAGGTGAGACATCCTATAAGCCTGTTTCTGCTTTCCTTGGATGAGGTCGCCAAGGGACCTGGGTGCCCCAGAGGACACGTGACCCTGGCCCCTATGCCCTCCATCTCATGGCCCTCCCACCCATCTGATGGAGCCCTGGACTGGGCAGCTCAGCACCTCCTTTTCTGACCAGCCCCCATGAGGCCTACGGGTATGTGGCACCAGGGCAGGACTGGAGGAAGCTGGGTCTGGTGCCTGGGGGCCAGCGAGGATAATCTGGGGGAGCCACACCTGAAGAGCACGATTCCCACCTGTGGGGAACAGAGGAAAGTGGGAAGGGTTACGTGGACAGGTGGAAGAGGGCTCTGCAGAGAACCCGGTGGACATGAGTGTCAGGCAGACCTCTTAGGGGCAGGACCTGGGAGCTGGGTCACTCAATGGTGCTCCAGGTGCAGGGGGGACCAGATGCTGCCCCCACCCAAGCAGATGCCCTGCCTTCACCACTCAGGATGGCTGCTGGCAAGGGGGTCAGCTCCGGCCCTGTACCCCACCCCATCAGTGCACAGCCTCCACTCCTGGTCTGAGCTGCCTCCATTTCCAGGGGGCCTTGGGGCTCATGGGGGGGGGGGCACATTCTGGAGGTTGGAGTGGTGGCACTGGGAAGACCTGGGCCTCCTGTGGCTCCAGCATCCAAAACATGCCAGACCCCCTCCTGAGCTGCCTCTGACCCATGAATGGAGGGCCTCACCATTGTCCCCGTCTGCCCAGCACTGGCACCACCCCCTACCCAATGCCTGGCCAGGTGACCACTGTCTCATTTAGCTCTGCAGCCACACAGGAAAGGCCCCTGCCTGGCAGACTCAGTTTTGTGGTGTCTAGGTGGACCCCAGCAGGTGTCCCTAACACACCCACACCTTCTCTGCAGCTGGACCCTCTGGGGACAGGTCCTGGCCCACTCGTCCTACCTAATCCCACAGTAGCTGAGAAAACAATCAGGCTGAGCAGGTAAGGGAACCACGGCCCAGCCTGAGGTGCTCTGACCCCTGCCCGTGTGACTGGGTTCAGTAGATGCCCCCGTGCCCACTGGGCCCACGAGAACAGAACCCAGATGTGCGCAGGAAGGGTTCCTCCAACTGGCAGGGGTGAGGCCCAGCCTCCAGGGCTGGCAGAGAAGGTGAAGGCCCCCAGCACACCCAGGGGATTCCAGGTAGGGGTGCTCACGTGGGGAGAGAGGGGGCCCTGAGGCTCTGCCATGGGGTGCAGCCCTCCACAGAGCCACCCCAGTGCTGGGGGTCTTGAGGACAGACCCATCACTCGGGGGAGCTTGGTGAGGGTCCTCATCCGTGAGGCATTAGGAGCAGTGTACCCGGGGAGGGGGCACCCCCCGCTTCCACCAGGCCTCATGCCGGGACTGTTCCCCAGGTCCCCATCACTCTGCTGTGGAGCTCATGCTCATTGGAGCACCCACTCCCTCACTCATTCACTGGCTTAGCATCCACAGGGCCAGGTTCCGTTTCCGTCAACAGGAACAGAGCCAGGCACAAAACAGCCAAAGCCCCCACCCTCCACGTGCGGGTGGACAATGAACAGCAAAGAAGTAAAAAACAGGAGTGTGTTGGATAAAAGAAGGTTTGGGGAGCCAACTAAAGCAGGAGACGGGGAGGGTTGTGTGGAGGGTGGGGAGGGGAGGGAGGGGCCTCAGGGAGAGATCCAGAGAGAAGCAACCACGCAAACGCCCAGGGGCACCGGGAACGTGGACCCCAAGGAGGCCCAGTGCACAGTGGGTGTAAGTCACCGCAAGCCTGGGCTGGGGCTCCGGATGAAATGGGAGCCAGCGGACGGTTTGAAGAGAGGAGGGACAGAAAGGGCTTCCATATTAAAGGCGAAATGAGTGGAGTCCGTTGAGCCCATGAACTCACACGAACGCACGTGAGTCTCTGAGGGCCAGGCCCAGGCTCAGGGGAGGGGGCTCACTTGGCACCTGCCTCCTGATGGGGGAGACTGGGGAGGCCACCCCCGCTCCACACCCCCAGGGGCCCCGAGGCCTATCCAAACACTGTGGCCCGTTTGTGAGGCTCAAGGCCAGGCCCTTCCAGGATCTGCCACTGGGGTGCACACGTGAGGCAAAGCCGTGGGCAGCAGACACAGACAGACAGACAGAGAGACAGACAGGCTTCAGAACACAGCTGCTCCAGCCCTCTCTCTCACCCCCTACCCTCCCCCCATCTCTCTGTCTCTGTCCCACCCTCAGCTCCCCCAAGCCATGGCCACCATCACCCGATTCCTCGCCTCTTAGAAGACATTCTGCCTGGGCGTCTGTCTGTCTCTGTCTCTTGATTCTCCCCCTTCTGCCTCATCCCCCATTTCCTGATCCCTACAGTGATACCCCCACCGACAGCCTAAGCTGCCTGACCCAGAAGGGGCCAGTGCTGGGGCAGAAAAGGGCAGGAGGTGCTCGTGAGTGGCTCTCACAGCAAAATCAGGAGCTTTGTGAAGGTCCCCAGAAAAGGTGTCCAGTGACCACTGGTGGGATGTTGAGGTTTGCGGTCCCCACACCCCTATCAATTTGGGGGCCCCACGTGGGCTCAGAGATGTGCAGGCACCCCACTGGGCCGTCCCACCTTGGGAGGCCTGGCCCTCAGGCTGGGTGGAGCTGGCCCCTCCCTGGGTACACTGAGGCAGAACTCAGCAGGTGGGAAGATCCTGCGGTCTAGGCTCTGCCACCCCGCAGCCTGGGCATCTCAGAGTCCAGGGCTGGGGACCACGGAGATCTCCTGAGGGGACCCAGCCCCCTACCAGCAGGTTTTATCCGCAGGGTCTGGGAACACCTCTCTCAGAACCCAGAGCCAGGGTCATCGGGGTTAGGGGCAGGAAGGAACCAAGCAAGGCAACACTCCCCCCTTCCTGAGTCTCCTACCCAGGCACCCGGACCCAGTGACCGCCAGGCCACAGGCACCCTTGGTGGAGGAGGCCCAGCCTGGCTTGGGGCCAGGGTGGCCTTGAAGACCTTGGGAGGCCATATGGTTTGGGGGATGCTGAGGGCTCACGAAACTCCCAGGTCCCCAGGGGAAGGCCCATCTCCTCACCTGGCACCCAGCCTGGCCCACCCTGGATGGAGCTGGAGCAGCTCCCCCCACACCTGCCCTCTCTCCCACCCTTCCAACCTGGCTGCTGGATGGTCCACGGAGGATGGGCCACGGACACACCCCCGGGGGCGCGGACCCCCTGCGGCTCTGGCACAGTGCTCTGTGAGCCTCGCAGCCAGCTCAGCCTCCCTTGCCCCTCCCAATCTGGGCCTCGGTTTCCCCATCTGTGACCGGCACAATGCTTTCACCGTCCCACTCACTGGGGAAGGGAGCCCAGATGATTCCCAGGAGGGCTGTGGCTGCCAACTCGAAGCCCACCCCCAAGCCAGACCTCAGTCTGCAGGCCTTTTTCCCCCATCACCCTGTTGTGAACCTCAGAAGCCATGAGGACCCTCCAGGGCTGCTCGGCTGCAGTCCCCTGCCCATGATGACTCACCCCACTCAGGGTCTGCCTGAGAGCCGGTTGCCCCTGGGCAGCCCGGAGGGACAGCTCCAGCAGGAGCAGGGCGGGAGAGCTTCTCCTGCAGAAACCACCATCTGGTCCAGAGAGCCTGGGAGACCCGATCATGAGGATGGGACCCCGGCCACTGTGGAGAGCAGGAAAGACTTGGTGTCCCACAGGGTGAGCCCTAATGCTGGAAAGCCTGTGGAGCAGACGTGGACTCCCGGGGGTGTGCGGACCTCCCCTGTCCTGCTCCCCTCCCGTCGGACCAGCTCCCGGGGCTTCGGAGCGTACCCTCCGAAGGTCTGCTCCGGGCAGCCAGGCGAAGGAGAGGCAGGAAGAGCCCAGTCCAGGCTGGATGAGGTGGGGGTGCCCTGGCCAGAGCCCAGCTGTCCCCATGCCCCGTGCCCACCTTGTCTCGGATGCCCTGACGCATGGCCTCACGCTCGGCCTCCATCTTGGCGTACTTGGCCTTGCGCTCCTCCTCTTCTTGCCGCAGGGCCTCCTGGCGCTCCTCCTCCTTCTTGGCTGCATCGGGGTCCTTCTCCTCGTCACCGCCAAGCATCTTCCCCATGTCTTTTGTGGCCCCTGGCGACAGAAGGGTGGTGAGTCAGGCCAGCTCCCCCCTGCTGGCCGCTGCTGCCCAGCGAGGGTCCCGGCCCGGGGCTCGGGTCTCCCTCCATCTCTGCTCCTGCCCTCCCAGCCCTACCCCCAGCCAGTTCTGGAAGCTTCTATCCATGGAGGGGAGCCTGGCCTGGTGTGTGTCAGGGGAGGGAGGAGGTCCGTGCTAGCAGGGAAGTGTGATCACATGGGCGTGCATCTGCCCATCTGTGTGTGCGGCTGCGTGCACGTGTCCGTGTGAGTCCGGGAGGGGCTGGGCATGTCTTCTCTGGGGCTCGCGTCCGACAGAAGGTGGTGGAAGGGACGGTTTGAATGCGTGAACAGGTGGGCTGAGGGGCAGCCCCGGGCGAGGTGTCTGCTGAGGCTCTGGCGTGCAGGGGCTGGGGGGTAACCCCTGGCCCAGAGCTGCTGGAGGCCGCGTGTGGAGCACCAAGGTCCTAATTTCCCTGCTGCACCAGCCGCCACTTTTCTCATGAGCTCCTGATTCACAGGCAACAGCAAACACCTCCCCGGACGCCCTCTGTGGCTCAACCCACAGGACAGAGACATGTAATTACAGCTCAAGCTCGGCTGGCACTGCGGTGAGCCCCGGCCCTTCAGTGGCTCCTGGGCGCAGAGCGACCCCACGTCACAGGCATGGGGGCAATCTCAGCCTGGGGCGCTCAGCCCCTTGGGGTGCCCCTGCCTGGCCAGCGTCCCCATCATCCCTGCATGCTTCCTCCGCAAGGGGCCCCCCAGCCCAGGCCCCCCTGTGCCGGCCATCCTGAGCCAGGACCAGTGACCAACCATCCCCACTCCCATCGACACCCTTCTGTCTGCTTCTGTCCTCTGACCCGTGATGAGCCCACGTGAGCACTGCCAAGGCTAGCTGAGTCCACGCCTTGGGCGAAAACTGTGAGGTGGAAATGCACAAAACCCCCTCAGTTAAGTCTGTGTGGGTGGGCACGAACATCACTGCCCCTCTCCAGAAGTGCCCCCGTCCCCAGCTGCGTACTGCCCCCTTCTCTCTAAATTCAGTGACTCCGTGTTCTGATTCTCCGTTTCCCTCTCCTTGGCCCTCCTGGACTGTCATACTCAGTCTGCTCCTCACAGGTCCGTGCAGTCCTGAGCCTGGAGAGACTCCCCCTCCGGCAGGTGTCTGCTCTATGCTGCTCCTGCCGGTTACTCAGGACTGACCCCCAAACCGTGTGAGCAGAGGACGTAGTTTGCAAGACCACTTGCTGTTGGTGGCAAGAGAACAACTCTTAGGGGCACCTGGCTGGCTCAGTTGGTGAGGCGCCCGCCTTCGGCTCAGGTCATGATCTCAGGGTCCTGGGATCGAGGCCTGCATCGGGTTCCCTGCTCAGCGGGAGTCTGCTGCTCCCTTTCCCTCCACTGCTCCCCCTGCTTGTGCTCGCTCGCTCCCTCTCTCTCTTTCTCTGTCAAATAAATAAATAAATAATCTTAAAAAAGAGAGAGAGAGAGCACTCTCGGGTGGAGTGCTCTGGGCTGAAAACTAGACGTTCGTCAGGCTGGGCCATGCCTACCCCCCGTGGGCCTTCCTAGCTGCTGGGAACTACCACAGGGTCTCGGAGTGTGGGGACGCCAAGGCCACCATGTCACTGTGAGGACAGGGAGCCCCCCTCCACCGGGTATTTGGTACAGATCCAGACTAACAGAAAACTAAAACCTCAGCGTCTGTTTTCAAGCACTTCTGCAGAATTTTATAAAGCCGATTTGAAGCCAGTGATTCACGGGAAACCAGACCAGAGTCACTTGCACACTCTTCTGACAGTTGCCCAGATAATAAGCAGAATCTCTCTGCGCCCCATGCTGCTCTCAGTCTGGCAGGCGTGGGGGAGGCAGCAACAACCCACAATCCAGGGAGTAGCTGTAATTTTCCCGACTTCTCTGGCCTGCTGGCCACCCACAGCATCGAGGTTCCGCTTTTCTGTAAACCTCCCCCCTTGAACAGCTAATTCACACTACAGTGAGAGTGACCACCAGCTCTTCCTCCCTCCTGAGAAGGACTGGCGTATTAAAGCAGAACTGGTGGGCGGGGGGGCGCGTGGGTGGCTCAGTCAGTTGAGCCTCTGACTCTTGGTTTTGGCTCAGGTCATGGTCTCAGGGTTCTGAGATCGAGCCCTGCATCATCAGCCTCCGCACTCAGCACGGAGTCTGCTTGAGATTCCTCTCCCCTCCCCAGTCCTCCCCCACTCACAGTCTCTCTCTCTCTTTAAAATAAGCAAACGAACGAAATCTTAAAAAAACAAAACAAAACAAAACAAAAAAGCCGAGCTGGTGAATGGTCTCACCCCTCTCTCTCCTGGGAGGGAAAAGTGTAGGACCGCTGGGGAAGGGCGGGGGGGGCACCCTTACTTGGTGGTCCCTGTACGGACTTCTTCAGCTCAGCACATGGCCTGTAGCCTAGTGATCAAATGCATCTATTGAGCATCTAGGGAGCCCAGCTGTGTGCTGAGCTCTGTTACACTAGGGTGGGCCTGGGGGGCTTGCCCAGGACCCTTCTGGCTCTGAGTTTCACGGGCTCCCCAGGATTCCTGGCATTCTCGTCCGGCCCTCAGTTGAGCTCTGGGCTGTTCCCCTGGCCTGAGGCTTAGGGAAAGCCAGGGGGGCCTGGCCCGTCGGACGGAGGGGCGGCTCTGGGAGGCTGCACGGCCTCTCCTAGGCCAGGGCTGAGAGCCCCAGAGGTCACCCCACAGCGGTGTGGGCTAGTGCCGCCCCAGCTGGCTGCAAAGCCACTCACTGTCTGAGCAAGACCCACCCTCGGGGCGACCACAGCGCCGTGTGGCGAGCGCCACTGGCCCCCCCGTGTCCCCTTTGTGGCCTCCACTGCTGTGCTGAAGAACAGGCTTCTGGAAGGCCCACCTGGCTGGGAATTAACAGAAACTGCAGGAAGCTTGGTCCTGGCACGGAAACCCCACAGGCCATTTGCTGTCCTGGCATGGAAGCTGGGGAGCCCGGGCAGGTGCCTGAGGGCCCAGCCGCATAGCTGCCTACCTCATTTCCAGGTGAGGAAACAGACACCGAGCGGTCCCACCCCAACCCCCAGGTCCAAGTGTCTGACGCAGAAGGTGGGTGGACTCTGTGGCTCGCGGTCCCACAGCCAGCGTCCCACGCTGGCTCCATGGGGGCAGAAGTGCAGGGAGGGAGGCCAGAGTCCACCCCCCCCCTTTTCTCTCACTCTTCTCTGAGCCTCAGTTTCCAGGTGAGAGGTGGAGAAAACAGTGCATGGGGTTGGGGGCGCAGACCCAGCCGGTGCTTCTCAGCCTGGGCCCTACACAGACGTTTTCTCCAAAGACCTGGGGAAGCTGGGTGGAACAGCAGGCTCTGATGTCCCCACCTCAGGAACTCTGCACTTGCTGCTGTTTTTCCAGAACTTTGTCCACTGCTCCCAACCCAGACAGGCTTTCCTGGGGCTCCTCGTGCATACTAATCACCCTGTAACAGTGGTCACTGCTGTGGTGCATTCATTTATGGTACATTATACGTAACTGAATTGATGCATGTTTAAATAATATGTAAGTTATTGTTGATTTTTAAAACTTCATTTGGAAAGTTTTCGATTCATAGAAGTCACCAGGTACAAAGGGTTCCTGCACACACCTGACCAGCTTCTTCTACTGTTGGCTGCGACACACTCATCAAAGCTAATATGATCATCACAGGTGCAAGACTGTGAAGCAAACTACAGACCTTATCTGAATGTCACCGCTTTCCCCTTTCCTATTCCAGGATCCAATCCTACATACCATGTTACATTTAGATTAAAGTCAATTTTTAAAAAGAGAGAAGTATTTTTTACCTTGAAATAAATCTATGGGAAAATTACAAAATTTAATGGAAAACTAAAATATTTCTAAATAAATAAAGACATTGTCATGTTCATGCCTGGGAGATTCCATAATGAAGCTGTCAGTTCTCCCCAAAGTGAGTCTCAATCACACCCCCAAGAGTTAAAAAGGAAATTCTGTGAAATATGACAAGCTAAGAGTTTTGCATACAGAAAAGCTAGAAGTCCCCTAAAGGCCAGGACAGACACCGAGGAAAGAACCAGGAAGAAGCTGGCTGAGCAGACAGCTCATGCGCACTGTGGTGTGATGCAGTCTGGCTGTGGAGGGAGACAGAAATCGGGATCAGAGGGGACGGGCAGCCCCACAAACACACGGGACTTGGACACGTGACCAGTGACGGAGGTGGGGCCTCAGAAGCCTGGAGAAAGAACCAGATCTCCCTAAATGGGGCTGGGATAAATTTCTGGTGGGGAAGCGTGACCCAGGACTCCTCGGTGACACCACAAATTCTGATGGATTACAGATCTGATAATGAACCCAAAATAAAAACGAGGGAAGAGAAAACAGCCCTCATCAGCCAGCTTTATGTTCCCACAGGTCGTATTACCTGAAATGATACTGTAAGTTTGTTTGCTTGCTTTTTCTTGTTGGTCTCTGCCAACAGAAAGTGAGCTCCATGAGAGCAGGAACCGACCAGCTCATGGCCGTGCCCCCAACACCTAGAATAGCGTCTGGCATGTCTGGGTGCTCAACAAATATTTGGCAAATAACAAACTAAAATTTTATTTATTTATTTTTTAAGATTTTATTTATTTATTCGACAGAGAGAGAGAGACACAGCAAGAGAGGATACACAAGCAGGGGGAGTGGGAGAGGGAGAAGCAGGCTTCCCGCCGAGCAGGGAGCCCGATGCGGGACTCGATCCCAGGACCTCGGGATCATGACCTGAGCCAAAGGCAGACGCTTAACGACTGAGCCACCCAGGTGCCCAACAAACTAACATTTTAAAAGATATGTATCATGCACTGAGCCATAAATAAAATCTTAACAAACTCTACTGCTAATGTCATAGTCTATGATGAAATAGCGAACATTTTTCTCTTGGCTCAGTAATGAGCAAAGGATGCTCCCTCTCACTGATCCCACTCACCTTTGTACTAAAGGACCTTGTTCCTG